GTGTCGAGGGCAACAAGTGTGGTAGCAAGTAGGTGAGGTGGGGAAGGAACAACAGGGTATGGGATCTTCTGTAAAGACTGGGGGGGGTGTGCTGGGAGGTGAGAGGTGGGGGAAGTGGCATAGGAGGAGCCAACTGTTAGTGAGGAGCAGAGTGAACCTGAACTAAAGTATCAGGGTGGGGTGAAGGTAAGTTTTGGAAGAAGCAAAGGTGTGTAGCTATACAGATAAGGGTGAAAGTGAGGAGTGGGATATGGTTTGGGAAGGGCCTAAAGTGTTAAAAGACTGGCCAGGTTATGCTCATTGGTATAAGGATGGGAGTGTTGAGCATGGGCTAAAATGTGGGGAGAACATGGAGACTGGAGTGGGGGGGTTCAGGATGGAGGCCAGGGGTCTAGAGAGATATGTTTCAACATGTGACCACTTTGCCACTCCCAGCCTTAATCCACTGTGCCCTTCTAGCTATAAGCACTGCCTCATCTCTGTTCCTGCTCTTGGATTTCAGGTTCCTGCCCCTTCCTAGAACACTACACTTACAGTACTTAGTGATAAGGATATGAGCTGCTATAGATCTGGAGGCCCCTCCCCCAGGGCCAGGTTCCCAGGAGGCTGCTTATTGACTGTTTCCCTCTTCCTCGGCCTCCAAACAGGGGGCAGGGTACTCTTTCTGGCTTCAAAAGTCCTGGGCCAGGGAGTATGCCTGGGGCACAAAAACCACTATCCATCTTGAGGCGCCTGCCCCTTTGCCCAGCGCTCTGAGCTCCCTGCTCTTAGCACCCTTTATACCCAGTGTTAGCTCCAGAGTCCTGCTTGGCAGGAAAGCTGTGGCAGGTGGGAGGAGAGAAAGCGGTGAGGCAGAAACAGCTGCCAGCCGGAGAGGAGGAAGAGCAGGGCCCCAGTGCGTATGGGCAGAAGGCGGGGTGCTGGCTCTGGCAGCCCCCCACCATCTCTGTGTGGGGGTGTTAAGGCACAACATCCTTCCCTAGTCCTTCCCAACCAATGCTGCCGATCAGGATGCTGGCTCTGCTTATGAGACTAACCTCTGGACTGAAACAGACCTCAGAGGTCAACTGATTCAATCTTCCCCCTCCACCACCACCACCAAAATCTGGTTCTAGAGCCACCACCATAGCATTTCCACCCAGCAGTCCACTTGTATTAGCCCAGCTATTTCCTGGGAACAGGAACATACCTCCTCAAAGCCAATCTGCTCCTTCTTTGGAAGGAAAAACTGGAGGGAGAGCCTCTGATGTACCTAGATACTGTAGATTTCTCATTAATACAGAATTCATAAGGCTGTTCTGATGAATGAGTCCCATTTTACAGATAAGAAAAGTGAGGCTCAGAAAGTTGAAGTCCGTAGGCTCAAGGTCACACTAGTAAGAAGTAAAAAGCTAGATTTGAACGTAGGACTTTCTATGAAGTACCTCTGGGGCATGCTTCTTTTGTACAAGGACAACTCTTCTGAGGTGTAAAGTCTGAGGCCATATTTTCCTGAGTCTCTTCTTCTGCAAGTCAAACTCCTTTAACTCTTCCCAGAGAACTTGGGTTCCAGTCTCCTTCTCAGCTCTAGTCAATATGAGCCCCAATATCAAACATGCATGCTGTTAGGTGGTTGTTGGCTAGGCTGGAGTAGACCAGCACTATGCAATCCTTCCTAGCACTAACCTTGATCAATACAGTCAATGGCTATCTGCTAAGAGAATGGACAATCCCTCTTCTTGACCCTCTAGCCCCTTTTCGAGGAATAGGTGAGAGAAGAAGCCAGAGTTCACTTCCATGTCCTCACTCTCCTCTGCCTGAATGTTGTGAACAGAGAGGAGAGAGGCAATCCGAAGCAGGTGCATGGCAGGATCGGAAGGAGGAGGAGCTTGAAGGGAGTATGTAATGATAACTCTGGGCAGGGCCAAGAGAGAGCTAGAGGTGAAAGTGGGCTTCACATGGAGTTAAGGGAGGGATGAGGCATGGCCCTAGGAGCAGGGAGAGGCCAAGATGGGGATGGACATCAGCCTGGGTTAGCTACATCGACTTGCTGTGCCTGTGTGAGAGGAAGTCAGTCGCACATTAAGGAAATGTTGCAGCTGGTACTAAATTGGGAGGTGTCACAGGAGGCAGTGAGGACAGGTATGATTCCTGGGGCCCTGTGTGGCCCAAAACAGGGCAGACATCTCAGAGGCAGAGAATAGGGTTTCTAGGGCCACACAGGAAGGATGTGACAGGCACTTGGAATAGGGACTCTAGGTATAGGGGGTCACCTGGTTGTAGAACCAGGCTTCAGGCTTGTTTTCTACAAGTAGAAGAAGCCTCCTCATCTTGGTCTGGGACTGTGAATTGTTATTTAAGAGGATTCTGGGTGTAGGATATCATCTCCCGGTGCTTCCATTTGGGATGGGGGCTAGAAAGAAGGGCTGAGTCACGCAGTAGGGTTGGTAGGGGTAAAGAAGGCCTGTGAGGAGGATGGGGGTGAGTGGTTGAGGAGACAGGGGCCTATAGGAAGGAGGGGAGTAGAACTGTCTTTCTCTTTCATGCCATCATACAGCTGAATTAGAGTCCATGGGTTTGGGCCTCAGTTGAAGAAGAAAGCTTTAGAAGAGGGGGAAAGCACAGGAAGAGAGCTAAGGAGCTGGCATGGCACTTCTGCCAGCACAAGAAGCTGCAAGAGAGTGGGGTGGGGTTCCTTTGCTCCTGGAGAGAAACAAAGAGACAAAAGCGGGAGTGGGGAGGCTCTTGGGGAACTTGATGTCATGGCAAAAGCATGGGCTTAGTAGTATGATAACACATAGTTTGAAGTCCTGGAACTCCTGATCATTGGCTGAGTGGCCTTAAGGCAAGCTGCGTGATCCCTTGGTACCTCAGTTTCCTCATCTGTAAAATGGAGGTAATGGTGCTAGAATTACCAACCATCCTGGGCAGTTGTGCTTTTATAACATATATGGACAGGCTTGAAATCCCTAAACCATCTATGCCAGATGTTAAATTCTTATCACTAAATACTACCAACTAAGCTTTTCCACTTAAATCTGGCAAAACACTCAGGATGTGGGCAGAACAAGGATATCTTTTTCCTGTTTATAAATGAGGAAATGAAAGCTTAGAGGAAGTGAAGTGATTTGCGCAAGGTCAAACTGCTAACAAGTCCTAGAGGTAATAAGACCTCCTGAATCAGAGGTCTTAAAACAAGCTGCTTTATATCAGCAATCAGTGTGAGGGATTATAATTTAATATGGGATCAAAAGGAACTTGAAGTCAAGTAGAACATGAAGAAAACCCCATGGGAAAGTTGTGGAATGGTTTTCATTCTGGAGATTGAGGGGGAAAAAAATAAGAGTTGTAGCTGTGGGGTTGGAGGGCCATAAAAGATGGGCATCTTTATTCTGTTTGCTAGGGGACATGTCCCTCTTCTCTCACTGAGGGTATGTATCTGTAGCAGACATTTAGGGTAAGTGTCTGTCTCTATATGACAAAATGTGTCTTTCTTCATGTGACTGTACTTCCGCCTGCTGTCTCTGACACCAAAGGGAGATGTTATGTGACATGGTGCCTGCTTCTATGGCACTATTTATAAAAGTGATAACCTCTCTGTAGCTCTGTATGACTTTGTTGGGGTGTTGGTGGTATATGGCGTGGGTGTGTGCATGTGTGTATGTGTGTGTGTATGTGTGTATCTGTCTGTACACCTTTAAGAAGTGGAATATCTCATTTGGTAGTGTGAGTGAGGCAGTGAGTCAGCTGAGGCTGAGGGAGGCGGGAGGATACTGCTAGGTTATGAGAATAGGAAAAGGGAAAAGGAGAAAGTGAAGTCAGGACGAAGGAGCTACCCTTCTTCCCCAGTCCTCTGCCCCAATCCCTAAGGAGCCCACAAAGAACATCAAAACCTTACAGAGGTCCACAGGGGCCATGCTGGATGGAAAGAGGCACTTTCTGTTCCTCAGCAGAGCCCTGAATAGGGAGCCGATATAGAGCTAGGAGGCAACAGTCTCATTCTCCAGTTTGTGTCCCCCTCCCCAGCTTGAGAACCTGTGAAGCCCTGATTCCACCTGGTATTCTAGTCACTTGACCTTTTGACCTTGCTGTTCCTTTCCTCCCCAAAGCAAGCCACCTGGCCAGGGAGGAAGAACAGGGTAGTAGCATCAGGCCTCAATTGTTTACAACCCCACCCACCTACTGTCCAGAATAACCCTGCTGAGGGTCAAGAAATTTCTCAACCCTCACTTCTTCCCTAGGAAGGCCCCTTCTGCAGTTGCCCTGCTTCTTATTTCCTCCTGATGCCTGTCCCTAGCAGCCAGAAAGCCAGTTTTTCCTCTATCACCACCCTGGAGCCCTGGGATTTTTCTAATGCACCAACCTTTGGTGGCCCTTCAACAAGCTGGTAAGCCCTGTTACCAGAGCCTTTCTTTGTCAGAGGGAAGGAGCCTACAGGTTCTCTTCTTGGGAGAAGACAGGCATTCCTGGGTTCCACCTGCCTAGGATCTGGCCAGACACCTCAGGTCATATAAGGTCAACAGTGTGGTGTACCCCATCATAAAGTGAGGCCCCCTCCTTTCACCCATTGGCAGGAGCCAAAGGGTGAGGATTAGGTTGCCAAATATTCTTCCTCCTCCTTTTGCCCCCCCCCCAACCTCCCCTACAGTTAGTGCCAGAGCTTTCAATTCTAGCCCAGGAGGGGGGTGCACGGCTGGCTGGGGGATGTAGACTGGGGAGCACAAACGCTTCTACTACCACTTTGCCAGCCCAGTGCCCCCTCCCTCCTCATGCAGGGGCAGAGCACCAGGAAGCTCCAGTCTTACATGTCCAAACCCTAAATTCATAGAAGTTGGCCGACATGAATCCCTGTGGTCCTTTCTCTGGAGAGGGGTTCAGGGTGGCATTCCCAATACTACACCGGGAATGGTGGGAGTGGTGGGGTGGGTAGGGAGAGAGGGAGACCTTTTTTTCTTCCCACTGCCATCTATATCTCTGCCTCCACCCAGGCAGCAGCTGTGGCCTGGGCCGCCAGTCCCTACCTTACAGCCTTTCGTGCAGGACCGGATTGAGTACTCTTCTGCCTGTAAGTATTTATGTAGCACGAGGTCAAACTCGTCATATTTTTCCTGAGCATGTCGGTCCAGCCGCTGGTACGCCTCAATGCAGTTGCTACAAGCCTCCCAGGTCCCGGAGCCTGGGCTGGCCACTACCGCCAGCAGATCCCCCAGCAGGGTGTCCAGACTGCAGTCCAGGCTGTCGGGGCGGTCCATGCCAAGCAGCAAGTCCCAGACCGTGTAGGTGTCGCAAAACGAGAGAGTAAAGTTCCGAAAGTGGCCTTTGAGCAAGTTCTTTTTGGCGGAGGGGAACTCGACGGGGACACGGGAAGGGGAGTCAGGGGGCCGCAGAGGGGGAGCCGGGGTGGTCGGTTCGAAAAGTCTCTGTAAAGATTCCAATTTGGTGCAAGCTGCGTCCAGCCCTGTGGGCTCTGGGACGCCGCCGCAGACCGGCCCGGGGCCGGCGGCGGGGGCGGCTTTGGTCAGGTTGCTGTATGGAGGGCCGCAGGTGCCCGGGGGCGCGCCGGGGTCAGCCGGCGAAGGCGGCGGCAGCGGCTGCACCGCGCGGGGTGGCACCGGCTGCCGCTCGCGACCGGCCCCCCAGAGCGGCCGCATGGCGCTGCTCAGCTCCCTGGCCCGGGGCCGGGCGCCCGCACACAGCCACAGATGGTCAGCGAGCAGCACGGTGAAGAAGAGCAGGGACGCCAGGGACAGTCGCCATCGCTGCGCCCGTTCGGAGTCGGCGCAAGGTTTGTCGCTCGGCCTGGGAGCCCAGCAGCAGCAGCAGCAGCAGATAGTCAGCGCGGCGGCGTCTTTCCCGGGCCACATCCAAGCGCCCCTGAACATATTTCAGGGGGGTCCGGGCTGGAGGGAGTAGGCAGGTGCGAGGCCGGACGGCCGTCTCGGGTGGACGGGCTGCGCACCGCTCCGCGCTCCTCGGCGCCGTCCAGGCTTTACCTCGGGGGTCGCATGGCTAGGCAGGCTGGCCGGCCCGGGGCCCCGCTCAGGCCGGAGTCGCGGGGCGTTCTCGGGCCGTCCCCGCGCCCCTCCCGCGCTCCCTCGCTGGCCTGCTAGGCGCAGCTGGGCGTCCGGGCAGGGGGC